CCTTTCAGATCCACTCCCTTTCTGTCTCTCATTAGAAAAGAATAGGCTAAGAGGTAACAACCAAACATGACAAAATAAAGTATAGTAAGATGAAGCAAAAACTATCATATTGAAGTTGGACATGATAGTTTCCAACAGAAGAGAAAGAGTCCCAAGAGCAGACATAAGAGTCAGAGACCATTTGTTCTCACAGTCAGGAATCCTATAAAAATACTAAGCCACTAGCTGTAACATATACACTGAGGACCTGGTGCAAACCCATGTAGGTCTTGTGCTTGCTGCTTCAGTCTTTGTGAGCTATATGCACCTTGCTTAGTTGGTTCAGAGGGCCTTCTTCTCCTGGTGTCCTCCATCCCCTCTGGCTCCTACAGTCTTTCCACCTTCTCTTCTGCAGGACTCCCATTTGTTGCTGGACAAGGCCTCTCTGATGATGACTGAATAAGGCACTTATCTATGAGTACAGCAGAATGTCACTAAGAATCATTTTGCTATTGTTGCTGTTTGTTTGTTTGTTTTTGTCCAGTCATGTTTGGTCTTTGGGATGTCTAGTCCCTGGTTTTTGGTTCTCCAAGCAGTGTCAGGTATGAGTTCTATCCAGTGGAATAGGTCTTAAAAAATTGTATAGTGATTGGTGACTCCCACATATTCTGTGACACCATTGCCCCAGCATATTTTCAAGCTGGAAAGAGTGTAGGTCAGAAATCCTTGTGGCTGGGGTGGTGTCCACATTTCACTTTCAGTAGCCTGCAGAGTACCTTCCTGCATCAAAGAGACTAGCACATATCGGTAAGGGCTCCATGTAGACACCAGCTCAACTTCTCCATGTTCAACGAGTTGCATGGGAGTTGTCTTTGGCAACAGGACCCTGTTGTCAGTTTGCTGAGAGCAGTCTTTTGCCTTAAAGAGCCTGTGTTATTTTGGGACTTCCATAGGACACCATTCACCAACAAGTCAGTTGAATGCACCCTAGTCCCACCTCTGGAAGCATTACCAGGCTACAAGAGATGTCCAGTTGAGATCCATATCCCCTATTAGTAGGAATCCCCACTAGGATGATCATAGGTTCCCAAGACATTTCCACTGCACTAGATTTCCATGCCACACACTCCCAAAGGCCCCCCAATTCCAGCTGTCTCTCCCCAAACTCTCTTCCTCTATTCCATCTTCTCTGCAACCTGATCTCCCCATGCCACCTGCCTCTAGTCCACCTATAAAATCTATTTTATCCTCCCAGGGAGATCCCTGCATGCCCACTAGACTCCCTCCTCTTTACCTGAATCAAAACTACTTTGAGATTCCATCATACACCCATTAGAATGGCTAAGATCAATAACATGCTTTATAGCTTGTGCTGTCAAGGATGTGGAGCAAGGGGAACACCCCTCCATTGCTGGTGGGAGTGCAACCTTTACAGCCACTAAAAAACCAGTGTGGCAGTTCCTCAGAAAGTTGGGAATCCATGTACCTCAGGAATCTCACTATACCACTCTTGGGCATATACCCAAAGGATGCTCCATTCTACCGCCAGGACACCTGCTCATCCATGTTCACTGAGACTTTATTCATAATAGCCAGAAACCCAGTCTATGGGGCTTCTGGCAGTGGAACCAGTATTTATCCTTAGTGCATGAATGAGCTTTGGGAGGGATACTCTCTCAGACAAGGTTCTCAGCCAAGGTCCTGCCCCAAATGATGTGTCAGATTTTGATGATCCCCCATGGAATGCCTCATCCTCCCTGGGGAGTGGATAGGGGTGGTATGGGGATTTGGTGGGGGGGCATGGGAGGATGGGAGGGAGAGAGAACTGGGATTGGTATGTAAAATAAGATTGTTTTAATTTAAATACAATTTATTTTAAAAAGCAAGAAAATGCAGGTAAATGTATGGAACTAGAGAAAAATCATCCTGAATGAGATAACCCAGACAAAGAAAGATAACTATGGTATGTATTCACTGACAAGTGGATATTAGTCAGTAAATAGATTATAACCAAACTACACTCAGTAGACCCACAGAGATTTTTTCCATGCTTTATTTTTAGCAAGTTCACTATTGATTTATAGGAAAATCATTGATTTTTCTTTGTTGATTTAGTATACTGCTACTTTTGCTTAAAAGTATTTGTCAAAAATACTTTAGAGCTTTTTTAGTTTTATGATCATGTTACCTCCAAATAACAATAATTTGACATAATTTGTATGTGTGTCAGCACACACACACAAATTAATTAAACTATTTTAAATGGCTTCTTTGCCATCTACTAAAATGATCATGTGATTTCTGTCCTTAAGTGTATGTATTAGAGCAAGAGTTTTGGACTGACACAAATCCATTATGTCCATAAGTACCAAGGCAGTGTGCCTCTACATGTTGTTTACAAATAAACAGTGGTCCACACACCATGAGGCAAAAGCATAATTTATTTATCCCAGTAAATAATTATGTAAGAAAATGTATCAAATCCTTCCACATGTAACCCTCTCACTTTAGGGTATAAAAGGAGCTGACCCATGGCCCACTGACTGGTTGTGACTGACAACTGCTCCTGGGCTCAAACTCACACACAATTTCTCAGTATGGAGGCCTGTGGGTCTCAACCACAGTGTGATAACCGGTATGTGCAGGAGGGAAGGAGGAGGCATCCGGGCCCTGGAGACCAAGGTGAACCAATGAGACATAGTATCTGGCTGTAGACCATGGTTCTAGAGGGGCCATGGGAACAAACACTGCATGGGCAGGAGAGTGATGAGGAAAACAAGAGAGATGGGGCTGCTGGGTGAGGGCCAGTGGGTAAAGTGCTTGCTGCCCCTCATGAGGTAGCAGGGAGATGATGTGATCAAAACACGGAGAGCATAAGCATGAAAACATCGTAATAAAGCCATTGCTGTAAGACTATGTAGAAATAATGTATGCCAATGAAAATAAATAGCCTCAAAGTGAATGCTGAGCTTTTCAAAGGGAGGGGCTGGTGTTACTGGTTATACCCTTGAAGATTTTTAAATTATTTTACATCTGCCTAAGCTGAGATTTCTAAGGACCTCATTTCTAATCGTTGACATCTACTGGTTGTGGGTATTTGCCCCAAAAGTCAACAGATTAGGAACACCTACTAAGAGTGGGAGGGCGGATTGTGTGCCTACCTACTTTCACTGGAACTGTCACACCCATGCCATCGGCTTTGAGTAAATAAAAGGGCTGAAGTTAAAATTGATGCCAGAGTCAAATCTGAGCAAGCAAAGCGCTCCTCTTGCTACTGGCATGTATGTGAGAAAAGGCAGGTTTAAACCCACGCCCTGTTAGATGAAAGAACAAGCCAGAAGCTGCCTCTGTCACACAGTGGCTTTGGGTTGACTTGTAGAAACACATAGATAGCCTAGAAAGGACTTTGCTGTTGATTCTTCACAAGGGAAACTCAACACCCACTTGTGATGGTACGGAGCATGGTTTCTAGGGCAGAAGATGCAACAGTGGCATTTGAGTGGGATGTAGCTTGGAATAAGTGTGTCATTGTAAACCAACTTACACAGTCAACCAGAGCTCTCAGAGGCCCACAAGAACAGTGCTCATCACCCAAACAGACCACACAAAATGCTGGAACCATCTTCCGAGTCTTCAGAGGAGAACAAGACTTTCCATTGCCGTGTTTTAATACCTTTGAATTCCTTAGGAAAACAAATTCTACTCCTTTGTAATACACACTGGCAAGATCTTATTAACTGTGATGTCTTAGTGGCTTTATACGTGAAATTATGGTGACTCATCCCTGATTCCTCATACTTCTTGTGTCAGATGGAAGAAAAAAATCACAATTACAGAGTCTACTGGAATGGTTCTAGGCAAGGACCATGTCAAGATAGAATATTTTCAGCCGGGCAGTGGTGGCTCGTGCCTTTAATCCCAGCACTCAGGAGGCAGAGGCAGGCAGATATTTGTGAGTTCAAGACCAGCCTGGTCTACAAGAGTTGGTTCCAGGAAAGGCCCCAAAGCTACACAGAGAAACCCTGTCTCACAGAACAAAAAAAATATTTCAGATATTTACAAGGAGCTTTTCATAGTTCTCATTTGTCTGTGGCTTCATAAAACTGGTAAAGAACTGACTGTTCTGTCAATGTATACACCTCAGAATCTTTCCTAAAAACGCCCTGTCCAGAGCCCTATTCCACTGTAAAGTTAAATTCTAATCCAAACCAGACAGGGGAAGCAAAACAAAACAAATGCAATGGGGGCAGTGGGACTCTGTGTTGTCTCAGACTGGGGAGATCCGGAGCAGACTAACCAAGAGCAAGGCTGATGTTTAACAACGTGGAGTGAAGTTATAGGCGGAGTTTTACAGAACAGTCGGAAAGTTGGCTGGGAGGTCATGCTGGACCCTATCCAAGCATGGTTATTAGAGAGTGGAAACTCTGAGCAAGTACACACTGTGACATTGGGTGATGGGAAAAGTAGTTAAGATGAAATTCCAGCACTCAGAGAAATATAGACTCTTCATTTGACTGACAGTTACCCTCATCTTCATCCTGTCCACTGAGTAACAAACAAAACAAAACAAAACAAAAACCAGCATAAAACAAAATACAGGCCCATTCTTAGTTTAAAGCAATATTTTTTACATTCTTCGGGATATGATTACTCGTGTTTTGGACTTTTTTTTTCTCTGTTACGACATAGCATCTGAGACTTTGGAAAAGCAAATGGAACTGATGTGTCCTTGTGTTTTGAGAGGCAAGAGTTTCAAAACGAAATAGTATCCTGTCTCTTCCACTCTCCACAACCATCTGCCCTTGAAATCCAGGTCGCAGCTGGCCTCATGGACACAGCTGCTACTGGCAGCTGGTATCACTCGATCTGGACAGTGGCTGGTGGCTCTCCTTACTCATGCAGCCCCATGCCAATTGGCTGATTAAATAGATGTCTCCCGAGGGTCTGGGACCTTCATTTTCCTCAGCATCAGAATCCCCATGTCCCCAAGACTTTGAGGTGCCTTCATTCTGAATACTCACCACTGGAGAACCAGAAGCAGGATGGAAGAACTAAGTCACCAGGAGGACTGTCTCCACACGGCACCAGGCTGCCAGGGTAAGGAGAACTGCAAAGACCAAGATGAGAGATGACCACTTTCTGAGTCAGTCCTGTGTTTCTGAGTCCTCACTGTAAAATACAGAACATCTCTGCGCTCCTTAAGAATCCAAACCACCTGAATGCTACTAAAGCTCCCTGTTGCCCTTGAAGTGTGATGTTGGGATGGCATGGGGAAGCACAGTGTGGACTGCCTCTCTTCTACAGGTCATTCTGTGTGAAAGGGGGACTTTCCCTCCTTTCCCCTGAAATATAGCACTAGCTCAATCATGTGACTTTACCATGCTAGAAATGTCACCCCTGCTCCTCACGAACCTGCCATCTGACCCATCCACGTTAGTTTCTGCAAACCTAAGATGCATTTATAAATCTCTCTCACTCAAGCCTGTATTCCATGCTAATTATTTTCCCACAGGACAAGGTGTAAAAAGGCCCCCAGACCTGCGTAGGCCCCCAGACCTTAGCACAACCAATACCATAATAGAAGCACCATTCTATCAGGCCTTGAAACCTAGTATATAGACAGCAATGCTTGCCAAATTCTGGGAAAACCCCTACGTGTACTAACCTTGCTTTTTGGCTTCTGTAGTTCTGTTTCTGGCTAAGTGTTCTTATCAACTGAGGTGTGTCGACCCAGGATGTGCCTGAGAAAGGTCCAGAACTGTACTGGGGTCCTAAACACCAGGTGTAGTCACTGCCAAGTTAATAAAGACTTTCTATTGGCTTGAACCAGGTCTAAGGAGTCTTCTCACAACAAAGGTATTTCATGGCTTAGCCTCAGAGGTAAAGGCTTCAGAGAGTATTCTTTGAGAGGGGAACAAAACACATTAGTGTAATATTTACAAAATATCCTCATTATACTCTAGAAAATAGAAAGTATATTTGCAAAGGGGCACAGGGCATCAGCAGGAGAGGACAGGATGTGGACACAGGTTGCACAATGAAAGCTGTGATTGATGGGACACCAAACGCAGCACACACGCCTAGGCCTCCACTTGGTAGTTTCTTTGGCTTGTTCTCAATTCCCAGGCTTCTGTGCAATCTTTAATTACTGGATTATCTTAAGTACATTTCTTTTCTCTTAAAGCCAAATTATGAGAGTGAACAGACACACTCAGTTAAAACATCCCACAATGAACTCTTTGTGCACATGCGCGTAACTAATGCTTATTTCCTGTTCCTGTAATCCCACTCTAAACAACCTTTCACTCTTCCTGTAGTTCCCAGTTGCCACACCCCAGACCACCAGTGTCTTTAGTCTTCCCAAAAGCCTGTCCACTGAATTCTCTCCTGCTCGGATACCCATTCCTCCCTCGCCTGTCAGTTTGGACTGTTGTCAGTGCATTTTCTGAGCCTGCCTGCTCAAAGAAATCTAATTTCTCTGCTTTACGAAGCAGGCCTCTTCTCCAGGGAAGCTGCCATCCAAGCTGGCCTCTAGGCAGCCCCACAGCCCACACCCACTCTTCCATTTTCTGCCTGCCGTGGGGTGATTTGTGTTGTATCTACTCGCCACTGGTGGTCTTAACCAAACGCACTTTTCCAGACGCACCTCAAATCCTACTGATTTTATTTTCTTCTGAATCACTTGTGACTCAAGGCCACACCACACTACTTCAGAACTTCCAAATCCTCCAGCTTTGAAAAAAAAAAAGGTAGCCTCAGTGCTGATTTTTATTGAAATCATCCCGGTTCCCCAGTGCTTGACTGGGATAGCTCATTTATCTCCATTCTGTCCCTGCAAAGCAGGCTCCATGAAGTGCACACTGGACATGAAGACTGTGAACTTCCAAGCCACTGGCAACTCTGCTCAGAATTCAGGCTGAGAAGCAAAACATGCAGTAAATGTGGTTCACAGCTTCTTGTAATGCAGTGGTTCTCAGCCTTGCTAATGCTGCGACTCTTTAATACAGCTTCTCACGCTGTAGTGACCCCAACCATAAAATTCTTTTCATTGCTATAATTTTGTAATAAACGGTAATGAAGAAGTAATATAAATATTTTTGGCGATAGAGGTTTGTCAAAGGGTCATGCCCCACAGGTTGAGAACCAGTGTTCTAGTGGCAAGGTTCATCACCTTACCTCCTGCCTGCAGGGCAAATCTAGACAGGGCCAGGGTTGAGACCTTCATGTTCTCTGCACTCACCTAAGCAAGCACACAACCCTTGAATGATGCTTCCCTGCCCCAAATGGCCTTTCCCATGGAACATTCTTTTGTCAGATGTCCAGCATCATGGGTCTTGCATTCATGCTTACTCACTCAGCAACCATAGCTGCACTTGTCTCTCCTCTAAGGCAGGAGGCATGGGGAAGCCTTCAGGGCAACCTGATATCTCTGTCACACTGCCCATCTGCAGGACTTGATTGGGATGTCCCACCTCCTGACACCCTGATGCAAGACCAGGGGTGCACAACATTCCTAAATTCACCATTCAGGAAGCAACAGAGGATTATGGTCTGTTGAAGGCATTCTCTGGACCAGTTCTTGGAAAGCTGGTTTTTTTGGCAGTGTGGAAAAGAGAACCCTAAGATCTCTCACTAAATGCTCCTCAGCCCTGTGATTTATTCAGAGAGAAGCCAGTTGTCCCGGCTAGAACAGAGAAATGTGTACTTTGGAAGCAGATGTTAAACATCAGAGCTTATGTGTTCAAAGAGGGTGTGCCCAAGGGGATCTCTCTGCCGGGTCCTAAATGAGAAGCCATGAGCATTTAGCACTGCCTTAAGAAGTGGTGAGAAGCTTTGTGGAGGATGTCTGGGGGCTTTGTAGGCACAGGCCTTGCAGGGAAGGTTCTGTATGGTTGCATTGCTGTGAGAAGACTTCAGCTGGAAGCAACTCATTTCCTTCAAAGGTCTTCTGTCTACAAACAACGTGACACCCGTCTTCCCCACGTGTCAGCACAGCAGACACTCCAGCACACACACACACACACACACACACACACACACACACACACACACACACACATACACACGCACGCACGCACGCATGCATGCACACAGAGGCATGCATGCACAAGCTGTTTCTCATTTTGCTTTCCTTCCCTTTCCTCTATTTTTTAGGTAAGAAGAAAAGGACAGAGTACCTTCAGAGTGTCCCCTGCATTTCTCACAGCTCAAGCTTCCTGTCATAGCACAGTCAGCTTGAGGCAATGGAGTCATTTGAGGATCCCCTGGAAAGCCCTGCTGGTTCCCCTGCTTCTTTGTGCACGGTGCTGGTAAAGGAAACCTAACAGAAACACTGTGAAGCCCCCTTGATCCTACCTCTCCTTCACTGGTAAGTGGAGCTTGTTCAAGCTGGGAGAAGGCGGCTTCTGTGATGGTGACAAATAACACACACTTCCTGTTCCAGACATGTTAAGGCATACTGTGGGTTGTGATTAGCAATCAGGAAGAGAATGGTCACCGTGTCCTAGCTTGCTTATGCCTTTACACACTGATCATGAGCCTCTCCTGCCTGTGTCAGGCTGGGAGATCTGCACACTTCTGCAGCTGTCATCAGGAGAGGGCATTCCACACACAGCAGCTAACTTCTCCTGCAAGAGGGGAACCTACGCCCATGACTGACCCGTGAGCCGATTTCAAAGGGACGCTGGACCTGGGCTGTTGTATGAGAGGAGTGGGAAGGGAGGCTGTGTCACTCTGCTCGAAGAAAGTGTGGCTCCTGGAAATTCAGATAGAAAGTCAGATTAAATCGGGATTAACTGGGCTTTTCATCTTACTTGAGAAAAAAAGCAAAGGATGCCTTTAAAATGATATCTCCTCTCCAAGGGCAGGTAAAAGGTGGCCGGATTCATGAGGACTTCATTCCTATTAACTTCTTGGGAATCAGATAATAACCAGCTTCAACAGAAACAGTGGAGAAGGCCCTTTTACGTGTCTATACTGTTCCAGGATGATCCACTGGATATGCCGTAATTCTCGGGACAGAAAAAGACTCACTGAGTGCCATTCCTGTAATTAGTTCCCATTCAGTCATAAGTTCTTAAATATTGGCAGCAAGATCTTCACGGGATACTCCCATTAGGTGACTAACACAATGCAAATGAAATGCAGATCGCTGGAAACCCGAGCAAAATTGCCTGCCCTGCAGTAGATGCAGCCTTTCATCTGAATGGGATATGACATAACTTGAGTCTTGCAAAAGAGTTCTTTAAATATCAGAGAGCTAAAAGAGATCAATGGAGAAATGAACAACAGTATTTTTATGTCATCCCCCCCCCAAATAACCCTCTCAATACCTACAGGTCAAAGGTAAAGAGGTCTTTGCTAAGGTCACCTGTTCCCTCCTCTAAGTTACTCCACATTGTGTAAAATGGTGGCTTTTCTAGGCCATGAGACACTCCGTTTTACAACCATCTTCGACTCCATTTTGAGTGCAGACTCGGAGGCAGGAGGACTATGCACCTTGGTTGGCGTAAACAACGGCACCGCCCACAAGGACTGGACCGGCATATAAATGATTTCTAAAGGTTAAAATGGATACTGCCATGTAGGGAGAGGGTGAGGTCCCGAGTAAACGTGTATTATTGGCAAGAGTCAAAGACCCTGATGCCAAAGACCCATGGGACTAGCAAGACCCACCCCAGGCTAGGCTCTGAGGAATACAAAAGCCTTCCCCTGGATGAAGAGATGGACTTTAGCTAATACAAGTATGTGCTGAAGATACCCACTGCAGCCGTCTCCTCCAGGGTAACAGCCATCTCGATACTTCCCAGCTAATCGGCCTCCTCCCAACCTTATCTGTGTTTATGCGATGAACTTGCTGCGTTTCTCGGCGGCTGTTAGTGTATCTGGATCAGAGCCCAGCTTTATCTATCGGTCTGTCTGTCTGTCTGTCTATCATTTCATTTTCTCATTCCCCACTGCCCCAGTTGTTCCCCATACCCTGAGCCACGCAGGTCACAGCACCATAAATTTAACAAAATCTCCTGGAACTGTTGGAACACAGAGCGTAATGAAATCATGGAGACTCTAGGCCCCAGAGCACTTCGATCACATCAGCTTGAAGGAAGG